TCCCTCAAGCTGCGAACCCGTTCCCCGAACGAGAAACGGTGCTCTCTCTCTCTCTCTCTCTTTCTCTCTCTCTCTCTCTTTCTCTCTCTCTCTCTCTCTCTCTCTCCCTCTCCCCCGACGGGAGAGGAGGATGGGAAGCAGGGGGCGAAAGAAGGTTCCCCGTCGACGGGACCCGACAGACACGGCCAGGCCAGTCAAAACGGCCTAGGATGTCAGCGCGGTCAGCCGTGTTAAGATAGCCACGCCGATGGAAACAGTCACGCGGTCGTTATGGCCATGTTGGTTGAAGCGGGTATTCGGGTCAAAATGGCAAGGCGGGCTCGAAGGCCCAGGCGGGTTGAAAGGGCCAGGCGGGCTGAAATCGCCAGGCAGATTAGAACGGCAGCGCCATGGACATCCTTGAAGCCAATGGTCAATCTGCTATTCTGCATCTTCCAGATGACGTGTCTACTAACATCTTCTTGCCATCTCTCGTGAATTGCCGACGGACGGCTCAAGAGGGCCCGAAGCAAGCCCGAGAGTCTCCCAGGACGCCCCAACAGTGCCCCAAGACTCCCCAAGGATGCGACAAGGGCGAGGGGAAGAGAGGACGTAGAAGGAGGAAGAACGGACAAGCTATCGATCTCGCGCCATCTCATAGGAAGTTGCGCTGTCCGTCCCCATGTCAAGCAGGTCCAGTGGCCTCCGGCCCATCCAGCCACCGCGCCCTGGTGGTAGGTCAGAAGCCTCTTGGATGCCGGCGGCGATCTGCTGGGAGGCCTCTCGGAAGCCGCTGGGGGGCGGTTCGGTGTTGTCTTGGGGCCTCTTGGGGTTTCTTTTGGGGTTCTTGGGTGCCTCCTGTGGCTTCTTGAGGGTCTCTTGGAGGCCTTCTGGCGGTCGTTCTCGGGGGGAATCTTGGGTCGGAGGGCTTAAAATCTTCGCTGGGGTCTCTTGGCACGTCTTGGCACCCTCTTGGGCCGTCTTGAGGCCCTCTGGACGACCTCTTGGGCCGTCTTGGAGCGTCGGGAGCCGGGAAACGCGAGAGCGCTAAATTCTTTCAGAAACCTGGGGAGCATCAATGATCGTGGCCTCTTGGAGCCTTCCACGGGGGGCTGGCGGCATCGTGGGCTGTCTGGAAGCCAGCTTGAGCGCCTTCGAGCGATCTTCGGGCGACTCGGGGCCCTGTTGGATTGTCTCGCTTTGGACACCCAAGAAATCTGGCCAGTTGAGGTCCGGGCCTGGTAGAAGTCAATTATCGAAGACGCTTGCGGCGAATCACCGCCGCCCCCTGCCTTTTGGAATTGCCCATGTGGCCGAGCGGTGTGACAAGAGCTCTGCCAAGCTTTCGGACCATGTGTTCCCCCAGCCGTAGTAGAAACCCTTCGGGGAACACTTGTGGGAGGATGGCGGATCAGGAGGAGGAGGAGGAGGAGGAGGAGAAGGAGGAGGAGAAGGAGGAGGGGAAGGAGGAGATGGAGGAGGAGGAGGCGGAGGAGGAGGAGGAAGAAGAAGAAGAAGAGGAGGAAGAAGAAGAAGAAGAGCAACGCCGAGAACGGCGGTCCTGCCACACAAGGGGGGGGGAGGGGGGCGGGGGGGGCGAGCCGCTGGCCGCGGCGGCCCCGCTCAGGGACTCCCCGTACAGCGTCAGCAGCTCCCCGAAGCAGATGAGCCGCCGCACGAAGTCCCTCAGAGCCCCGAATCATCAGGGGTAACTCGGGTCAGGGCTAACTCGGGTTCGTTTTTCGGGATTCCGAACCCGATTTACGCTGGACCCGACCTACCCCGGATAATTCGGGCGTCCAGAACCCCACATCATCAGGGGTAACTCGGGTCAGGGCTAACTGGCTAACTCGGGTTCCTTTTTCGGGAATCCAAACCCGAGTTACCCCGGATAACTCGGGCGCCCAAGATGAGCCGCCGCACGAAGTCCCTGTGCCGCAGCTGCGGCTGTCTGCCCACGCTCAGTGCCATCCCACTGCGCCAGATTCTTCGAATCAGCTCAGCGTGGTCTCCGTCGTGCCTGACTTCGGCTGTGAGCTCGCAGATGGCTGAGACGCCGAGCTCGTGGTAGTCTGCACCACTGCTTGATACTGGTCGCCGCACTTCACCCGCAAACGGCGGGGTGGCTCTTCCAGTTTGTTTCGCCTGGAAACACCACTTGCGCCACCAGCCGTGTCGACCTCCATGCATTGACCACTTCCAGTTGCATGCTTCGAGGCGGGCCTGCCCCACGCGCTGTTTACCTCGTGGGTGCACCAGGGGGCAGGCTCCAGCAAACACATTGGCGACTGAGCCCAGCCCCCCGCGCTGTTTACCTCTGTGGGTGCCCCTGGGGGCTGGGACTTGCGTTCTAGCGCCTCCATCGTCAGCAGCACGATGGCGCTCAGCAGCGCGATGACCAGCGTCTGCACTCTAGCGACCGATCTGAGTGCCATCCCGCAGCGCCAGATTCCGCGGAATCAACTCAGCCATTGGTCTCCGTGATGCATTGATGGCTAACATCTTGAGCTCGCGACGATTGGCAGGAAGAAGCCGAGCTCGTAGTAGCCTTCACCACACTCCATCTCTGGTCGCCGCACTTCCTCCGCAAACGACCCGGTGGGCATTCGAGGTCGAAGGTCGCTGCCACCAATCCTGCCTCCCCCGGCTAAGACCGGCAGGGTGGAGGGGGGTAAAACGAAACAGTGTTTTTTTATCCTCCTGGCGGTGGGGGAAAGTAGGGAAAGCGCCTCCTCCTCCTCCTCCTCCTCCTCCTCCCTCCTGCACGTCAAAGGGCAAAGGGTGGAAGGGAACGTGGGAAAGGAAAAAGCAAGCGGGGCGCTCCGGCCCAGAGGCCATCGTGGCACCTCCTGACAGGTCAATCTCTTTCGTCGCCCCCCTCCTCTCCCGTCCCTCCCCTCCCCGTGCCAGCTGGACGATAAAGAGATGAAACATTCTGCGGGATGCCTTCTCCGAAGAAAGGAATGGGACGCAGAAAGGAAATAGGCATGATGTGTGGAGACGGAGAGAGAAATGAGGCAATGTGAAGTTAGGGAATAGTTAAAACATGCATCACTCCCTGGGAGTCGGGCACACCTGACTGGTGAGGCGGCGCGGGGTGGGCAACGACAAATGTGGGGCTGGTTCGGTGAGACCGCGGCGGGAAGCTCCCTGCATAGGCGAGATCCAGCGGCGGTTGCGCGGTGTCTCACGGAGGCGGATTGCGCTTGCGCCTGCGATTCGCACTTCTGACAACACGAGTCGCCATGCGACCTCGCTCGGACCTGTGGGGGGCGGTGAAGGCAAGGAGGGCCCGAGAGGGTCCAAGTGGAAAGCAGGCTCTGAATCGCATGGTGTATGTTAACGGCACTGATGCGACAGCAGTCGTGCTCTTGCACGACTCGAGCTGAAGTTGTTGAAAAGCTTCGCGCGCTGGTGCGTCCGCCCTCCTCCCAAAACTACCCCGACCAGCTCTGGTTCACAGAAGCAAAAATTCTAAACACTATGCGGACGTGGGGTGCGGAGTGGGTAATATGATGTACAGCCGTGGCCGCGAGCGTGCGATGCATAACGCTGTTGCGTGCGAGTTGCGCTAGTGTCGGACTGTTTTTTGCCAGCCGGCCTGCTGCAAGCGGGCGAGACTGTCTGCGCGAGAGATCCTCCTCCGACTCCAAGGGCCAATCATCCCGAAAAACCTCCGAAAGGGCGCCTCGCTCGCCTTAGTAGGCGATACAGAGTGATAGAACAAGTGCCGTGAGGTTATTCGTCCGGGAAGTAGGCGCGGGAAGTGGGGAAACGTAAACGATGGAAGGTGGACCATGCGACCGCACGTTGGGCGACGTCCGTCGCGACTGCGAGCGGAATGAACTGCCCAAGGTGGTTGAAACATGTGTCGATGCCTGAAGCGCAGGGTGTTGGTCGAAGCCGCCCTCCCCATCCCCAGCTCGCTGAACCCCTCCCTCCCAGAACCACAAGAGAGGGAAAGAGAAGGACGAGGAGGGAAACCAGGAACGGGAAAGAAAAGCGGGCGGGCAGGAGGGGAGGGGGGGAGCTTGGGAGAGGGCCACTCCCGGCGGGTCGTCTGGCAGGTCAAGGCGGATTCTGCATTTGGAACGCCCCTGGTCCCTCCGCAATTCTGGTGGAGGCCCTTCTCAAACGACGCGACGATCGGGACAAAATCGGATCGGGATACTTCGAAATCTCTGAGAATCGGCGGGTTTGGAGGATGTATTGGGCGCCGCGGCCGCTCTAGAGCGTTCCGGAACGCTCTGAGAGCGCTCCGGAACGCTCTGGAGCGATTTATCCTGATCCTAGCCCTGTTTTACCTTCTGGATCAGGCTCGGTGGTCTGATCCACCGTCCGCGCTTGGCCGGGGTCAGATGCTCGAGGCGGGTCCAGCTGTGGCGAGAGGTGCGGGGTACTCGGCGACAGACCCCGAAGGGCTAGGTGTGGGGGGCCGCCGAGGGGATCCCGTGTGGGGGTCCCAGTTGTGTGTCCTTTTTGGCCCGAGGCCGGGTCCTCTCCGGGGTGGAGCGCCCTCGGGGTCTCGGTCCAGTGACCGTCCAGACAGCTGGGCGCGGTGAGCTGGGAGGTGTCGGGGCCGCGAGTGTCCTCGCACTCCCGGACGCGGAAACGGCGGCCCCACATTTCTTTGCCGCGAAGGTGTTTCACAGTTTTCTGAGCGGCCTGGGCCTTGTCGTGGGTGATTACCGCCGTTCTGCTGCCGGCCGAGATGCACGTGAGAGCGCCGAAGATGGAGAGGGTGGCCTGGAAGCCAGAAGGGCCCATGCTCCGGTCGCACGAGATGTGGACTGTGGCCCATCCCCCCCAAAGAAGCGCCGCTGGCCGCCGATGCTGCCAGGGCAGCAGCCGCGGGTGGTGGCGACGGGGGCGCTGGGGTGGGCCGCACAGGTCTGTTGGGCTGCCAGCATCCTCCAGGGGCTCGGCCGCCGCGCGGCGCGCCAGGCCTTCGGCAACAGCGGCTTGTGCGGCAGCCTCCACACGCGCCTTGGCATGGTAGGCAACGCCAGGGCGGTCGGGCGATGCGCTGGCCGTCGGCCTCGAGGCGGCATCCAGCCGTGTGGAGGTGCGGAGCGGCGCGTCGGGGACGAGCTCCGGCGCCTCTCTCCGCAGCGGCGCCGTCGGACGCAGAGGCCAGTAGCCAGAGGGCCCAGTGGTGGCCCGAGGAGGCGGCGGAGGGCGCGGTGCGCCCCGCGCGGCTGGACTTGTCAGTGGCGCCGAGGTTGGCCCAGTCACGAGACCAAGCGCTGCGGCGCTCGACAGCGGTGCCGAGGCGGGCCCCGGCCGCGCCCCCGCCTCCTCCCCTACGGCGCTTGGCAGCGGCGCCGTGGTGGATCCGGGCGGCTCCCCTGGGGGAACTGGTGGGACCAGCGCAGCGGCACTTGACAGCAGCACCGTTTCTGGCCGAGGTCTCCAGCGGTAGCAGTCCTGAGGATCGCGCCGTCTATCATCTCGGTCTTGGTCCCGATGATGTCGGGTGGCCTCGCTGAAGAGAATGTTGATGTCTCGCAGTCTAGGGCGCTTCCATGTGCGGGCTGCATAACCCAGGCGGTTCACAGCTTTGATAAGAGTCGGAGCCTCTGAGTGTGGAGGCCTAGGCACCTAGGTGGGGCCCGTGTAAAACTCGTGCATGATGGCGTTGTCGGCGACGGGGGAGCTTCCTGAGGTAGCCTTTCCTCTCTGGCGGACAAGACAGAGATGAGAGAACACGGATGTGAATGGAAAGTGTAAGAGTATGGCGCGGGCCAAAAGAGGATGTGGCAGGAAATTCGGTAAGTGGTGGCCTCGCTGGGCGCCGCCACGGGCCGACCTGTTCGGCGAAATGGGGGGGTCCCGGGCCGAGGCGCCTCTCCTCCTCCTCGTCCTCCTCCTCCTCCTACTTCTCGTCCTCCTCCTCCTCCTCCTTCTCCTCCTCCTCCTCCTTCTCCTCCTCCTCCTCCTGCTCCTCCCCCGCCCCCCGCCACTCTTGTAGCAGGCACGTTGACCCGTCCTCCTCCTCCTCCTCCTCCTTCTCCTTTTCCTCCTCCTCCTCCTCCTCCTCCTCCTCCTCCTCCTCCTCATCCTCCTCCTTCGCCCTCCTCCCTCGTCCCTGCTGCCAGCGACCATAGGGACGGTAAAGGATCTCAGCGTAACACATCATGCACGCGAATATCCTCCTCTTCCTCCTCCTCCTCGTCCTCCTCCTCCTCCTCCTTCTCCTCCTCCTCCTCCTCCTCCTCCTCCCTCTCCTCCTTCTCCCCCGTTCCTTTTCCTTTTGAATCGTTCTTCCCTGTCGCACCCCGAGGCCTGTCGGATGGCGGACTGGGCACCTCGCTTGGGACGTCCTCACGATGTTTGATCCTGAAGCGTAGAAAGTGACAATCGTTTCACAGATGGAGGGTGGGCCGCTTCCAAAATGTGGCTCTCCCCATAGCGCAGCGCATATACAGTGAGCGGCTTGAATAAGGAACACTTACTTTTCGAAAGGGGCTCGGTCGTTCCTTAGGCTTGCATGCGTTATTTACAGTTCCTTATGCGTTATGTCTTATGTATCGTTCTGTATGCGTTATCCCTTGGGGTAAAAAAGGGGCTTCGTTCCTTATCTATCGTTCCTTAGGTCAGGCCTATGACTGCACGTCTTAAGAATTTTCAGGAGCTTAACGGATTGACGGGGGGTAGTTTTCAATAGGGGAACAAAGAGTGGCATAAACATAACAATTCTGAGGTCCGCGCGGATCTCTCGGATCCGCGCTGGACCCCCCTCCCTGGCGCGCGGAGCGCGCCAGGGGCGGCGCGGGAGGCGCCGCCAGGGGGGCCCAGCGCGGATCCGAGAAATCAGCGCGGACCTCCGAGTTGTTATGTTTATGTCACTTGTTGTCCCCCTATTTCAAAATGTGGCTCTCGCCTAGCACCCTTCGTGGGAGTAAGTGTCCGAAGTGTGCAGATGGGTGGCGGCTCCTTTGCTAGATGCGGTCCTCGCCTCAGCGCCCCGCACACTCGTCGAAACATATTGCAGGAATGGCACGGGCTCCCATGGCAAACGCACCAGAGAGTGGGGCTCTGGAGCGGCTCAGGATGATCATGGCGCGGCGTTGAAGTCCCAAGGATTCGGGAGTGGACAGCCCTCCTACTCTGACACGTCGAATAGTGAATGTGCCGTTTTCGGTTCGCGAGAGGGCGTCGCGGACGTCATTTTTGCGGGTCCAGGTCCGTCGGTTTCGGTCCCAGGCCGTTTTCATTAGGGGGAGGTATACTAAAGGGAGGTTTGTCCACCGCCGAAGGATGCGGTTATGGCACGATTCGGGAACGCCAAGACGCAACAGTCAGGTTGATTTGTGGCGTCGGAGTCCCGCGAATGGTATTTTGGCACGCTTCGCCAGCTTCAAACGGTTGTCTCCCAACGGGGCACTTCCGTCAGTGGAAATGAATCCTTGTAGGGGCCCATGACGAGGCAGCTTGGAGGAAGGGTTGATTCCAACATCTCTGTTGAGCCTTGGGCTTGCACTGGTCCCTCTCCTCCTCCTCCCCCTCCTCTCCGAGCCTGTCTTTGACATGGGGCACAGTGAAGTTGATGTCTTCGCCTGGCTGGAACGAGATCCGCGATCGGCCGTCGGCGACTGCTAGGAGGAGGAGGAGGAGGAGGAGGAGGAGGAGGAGGAGGAGGAGGAGGAGGAGGAGGAGGAGGAGGAGGAGGGGGAGGAGGGGGAGGAGGAGGAGGAAGGAGGAGGAGGAGGAGGAGGAGGAGGAGGAGGAGGAGGAGGAGGACCCCACCACTCCTCATCCCTCCCACCTCGCCCGCTTCCGCTTCTCGAGGACCCCGCTCGAGCCCCCGGATGACCACCGCATGCCAGAGTTGTCGTTCGTGTTCGCGGAGCTGGGCCGTCTGTTCCGCGCTTCCAGGAGTGGGCGGGATTGTAGATGTGGGGTGCGACGGCCTCTTCTCTCATGTGTTTCTTCATTGCTTTCTCATACGATTGCTCATCGCATTCCTCGTAATGCTTTATTTCCCCATGCCCAGGCGCGTCCTGATGCTGAGCTCCCCGCTCCCTACAGTACCATGATGGTCGACCTAGTGCCCCTGTTTCCTCTGCCACCATGTGTTTTTTTTTCGAATACGGCTGTTCATGTTCCCGCCGAGTGTTCCTGTTCCTCTTCCCCTTGCCTGCTCTTCCCGCCGCTCTCTTCCTTCTTATCCTCCTCCCCCTCTTCCTCCCTCTCCCCATTCCCCTTCTCCTCCTGCACATCCTGCTATCCTTCGTTGCGCGGGCCAGATGGGCTTGGTAAGAGCAGGAAGAGGATGATGCTGCGATTATGTTGATTAGGTCCTACACGCAGATGGACGGCACTGCGCGGCACAGCTACCTCGTTGCGTGCTGAAACTCACACCGGAGATTGATGTGAAGGGTGACGCAGCACGTTGGCTAGCACGTTTACAGGCGTCGGAGCCTGAAGCTGCACCTGATGGCAGCGCACGACACCTCCTACAATTCGGTAGCTGAGGCACTGCTGCATATGATGGCATGGCCCTTCGCCGTATTAGTTGATTTCTTTTCGGTTCCTGAAGCTTTTGGCTTTTTGAAGGCCAGCCCTCCGCACCGGATGTGATACATTTTCTCTAGTGCGGTGGCGTACAGTGTCGCCAGGATGAAGCCAGTGGTTTTGCGTTCCCGTTCATCACCAGTTGCAGCACCTCGATTTTCGAAAGCGCTTGCCTCGCCAGGGGGTTATGTTGCTTTTTCTCCAGCTCATCACCAGCATTGTGCTCCCTTGGCGGCATCGGGCCGCACTGCAAGTTCCAAGCTTGCCAGCTCGAACTCCCAAGGTTGGCTCTGCGCCTAAGCCACGCTTGAGAGGGAAATTGCTGAGCAGAAGAAGGAGGAGGAGGAGCAGCAGCAGCAGCAGGATGACTATGATGTGGAGGAGGAGGGGAGCGGAGGAAAGTAGAAAAAGGAGGAGGAAGAGGAACGGGAGGAGGAGGAGGAGGAGGAGGAGTTCTGAGGCCTCCCAGGGGCACTGCAGACCACTGGTACATCGGAGGATAGAGGTCGGGCGTCAGGGTTTTAGGAGGAGGAAGTCAGGGGAAACCCAGACGCTCCCACCTGTCTTTCCGCTCTTTTTCACCGCAGCCTGCTGAGAGGGACGTTCGAGCGCGGAGTGAACACAGGCTCCCATCCTTCCTCCCGCCATGGCCCGCCTTCCCTTTCCGCCACGGCTCTGAAAGTGACATGGTCACGGACTGAGCGTGGTTTTTCTCTCTTACTCTCAGGGCGGTTTCGAGCAGCGAATTGAGAGTGCGCTCCCCCCCCTCCCCTTTCCTCCCTCTGAGTGCTCGGGGGTAGGAAGGTGTAGGTGGGCCACCTCCCCCCTCCCCTCCCCAGGTTGCCGGGGCGCCTCTAGGCGTGGGTTTGCCCGTTTGTAGCCCGAGAAACGTTGGAGCGAGTGTGCAGATGATGATAAGATTCTTTGTTTGGACTCATTCCCCTCCCTTGCGAAGCTCTAGGCGGGGAGCTGCCCGCCTGTGATATTTGAAGGACGGGCGGGATATACATGGATGACTAGAGGAGGACTGAGCATCAGGAGTAGCAGCACGGTTGTTTGGCAGCCGCCATCTCCCGCGACGGGCACCAGACGTCGCAGCACATCAACACGCGGCCCAACGAGCCATGCCCATATGCTTACCAACGGCGATTTGAATGTATGCTTCAAGCCCTGCTTTGGCACGCCTGCGTCAAAAAAACATTCCGAGCTGTTCAGGAGAGGAGGACGACCACGAGGAGGAGGAGGAGAGTCGGGCGAGGCCTTGAAAGGGAACAGGCCGAAAGTTAAGGCTCCCGATCTCCCCCCTTAACAAATGTCCACCACCGCGCGCGGGCAATTCCGAGGCTGCTGCTGCACCCTGCCATATGCGGCCCCTACCTGCTGGACTTGTCGGATCCACTGGGCCGCGTGGTCGTCGAGTGGGACGCAAACTGGCGGGGCCTGGGGGCGACGAGGGGACCTCCTGCCCTGCGCGAGTTGGAGGCCGAGAGGAAGAAGGGAGGAGGAGGAGGAGGAGGAGGAGAAGGAGGAGGAGGAGGAGGAGGAGGAGGAAAGGTACGGGAAGGGGCATGAGGAGGAACGGATAAGTTGTTCCAGGAAGGCCCATGCGATGGGCCCGACACCGAGTTGATGTATCGCACGCTCTCCTGGGGAAGCCCGAGGACTTGGGAATGTACGAGGCCAAATTCCTCGTCCTTGCTCTTTGTCGCTGCTGCCGCTCTTCCACCCTCCGGCTGCTCTTTGCTTCTCCCCCTCCGCACGAAGGAACGCGTCCGATGATTGCCCAAAAAAAACACAAGGCTGCCGAAAGCCCAAACCCAGCGCGACCGCCGCGCGAAGAGTAGGAGGGCGTGGAGGAGGAGGAGGAGGAGGAGGAGGAGGAGGAGGAGAAAGAGGAGGAACAGGTGCAGATTCGGAGGAGGAGGAGGAGGAGGAGAAGAAGGAGGAGGAGGAGGAGGGAGCAGGAGAAGGAGGAGGAGCAGCAGCAGCACGAAGAGCACGAGGAGCATGAGGATGAAAACAAGGAAGAGGAGGAGAAGGAGTACGAGAAGGAGGACGAGGAGGAGGACGAGGAGAGGGGGCTGGGGGGCTTTCTTCCGCGGCCGCATCGTCCGCCGCCGCCCGGCAAGACATCGGCGGGGGGAGGTTGTTGTACCCGCCATGGCGGCGCCAGGCGCACGAACAGTTCGTGCGCCCTGGGCTCAGCACCGCGCGGGGTCACGGGAATGTGGGACACGAGGAGAATGAGAAAAATGAGGATGAGGAGGAGGAGGAGGAGGAGGAGGAGGAGGAGGAGGAGGAGGAGGAGAACCCCTCCCCATCATTTTCCTCCTCCCTCTCCCCATCCCGCCCATCCTACTCCTCCCTCCGCCCTCCCTGCATCTACGCTGCCCCCCATCTCCCTTCCCCGCCCCTCCCCCCCTCAAGCAATCCCACATCGTAACAAACACCGGATCTGAGGTGCGCAGCGGGTGTGGATTCTCTCCGTCCCACCGCCCAGGGCGTGGCAGGGATGCATTTCCTCGCCGCCGGAGGGTGGCTCACGCGGGGTGCGTCAGTCCTCGCCAGCAGGGGGCGCGCGCGGGGGGCGCTGTCTCTATCCGTCCCATCGTCGAGGGCAAGCGCGGTGTGGCACATCCTCGCCAGCAAAAGGGTTGCGCATGGGGTAAAGTCTCTATTGGCGGCGCGCAAAAGGTGGTAGGGGGAGGGGGGAAGGCTTCTTAGAAGCACCCTGCTTCTTAGAAGGCCTCGGCCTTACGTCTATAGAGAAGGCCCGCGCCTTCTAAGAAGCAGGGGTGCTTCTAAGAAGCCTTCCCCCCTCCCCCTACCCCCCTCTGCGCGCCGCCAACTCTATCCGTGTCACGCTCCCATGGCGACGTTGGCATGGCATTTTCTCGCCACCACAAAGGGTGCGCACCAGGTGCAGACACTACGCGCCTCACTCTCCCAGGACGCAGCAGCGGTGGCACTCGTTCGCCAACAGGAGGTGCGCACAGGGTGCGGTCTCTGTGTGCCCCATGTTCCCGGGACGTGGCAGGGGTGGCACATCCTCGCGTGTTCTGGAGGCGTGTTCGTAAGATATCAGCAATATACCATACATGAGAACGAACTACTGTCAGGCACTTTGGCTTAGCGTGTCGCTCTGATAGTTCTGGCCCACCACGCTTCGGTGCGAAACGCTATCCACTTCCCTGTCTCCAGGCTTCAACATCCCGAGCCTTTCCGAGTCTCCCGCCCCGCGTAGTGGAGCGACTCGCTGCCCGCTTGCAGGCCATAGCTTGTCGCCAGGGCCGCCGCTGGGGCCGCCGCCGCGACACGTTAAGCAAACGTTCCCGACCGTAGGCATGTGGTGGGTTGTTCGGGTGCTTATAGTTTCAGACAAGGCATTACGGAATCTGCGTCTCTCAGATCCGAAGTCTGGGCCTCGCTCAGAATACGTCTCTGCATGTCCTTGGCCCGTCCAATGCGAGCATGCCGAACTGGCCGGAGATGAGTTTGGCAGTGAGTGGTGCATCAGCCCGAGACCCATCCAATTCGGCGTGTCCGCGACACCCGTACCAGCGCTGAATTGGACACGCGCGCCTTTCTCCCAGACGGATTGGCCTTGTACAGAGTTCGATCCAGATGTCCCGCATCCCGTTGAATTTCTCGCGGCGCAGCTCGCTGCTCAGCCCGAGCTCTGCCGCCAGCGCTTCCATGCCCATCCCTTTCGCTTTGTACGTGCCCTTCCACTCGTTCAGGCAGCAGCAGTCTGGTGTGTTCGCGGCACCCGCACCGACGCGGAATCGGCCACATCGTGATCAAGTCCCCCGCGCAGTCGCTGAACTAGCATTGGGGCGCGCGCTGAAGGGCCGCCCGCGAGGGCTCGGAGCCACCACGAGCCGTGCTGGCCGCCGCGCGTCGCCCGACGAGCCCACGGAGAGTCCATCGGCTGGGGGACAAGTCGAACCGAGACGTGCAACGATGCAGCTCTTTTTCCAGGGCTCGAGCGTTCGCGGCGCAAGTAAGGGACCACATGCCAACGCAACCCCTACCCCCCACGATTTCTGAGGGGGAAGGGGCTCACTTCGCTCGGCAGCTCCCGAACGAAGTGAACCCCACACTCCCCCTCAGAAATCGTGGGGCGTAGGGGCAGGGTTCGCATGCGGCCCCCCAGCAGGGCTGCTCCTCAGGAGCGCTCGAGTGGATGTGGCTACGGTCGCGTGGTGCGTGCTGCTATATCTGCGCGCTGCGGCTCACGCGACAGCGGCGGCCCGCGCGAATGCGGGGCCGTCTCCACGCTGTGCGGAGCGCGATGTTCGGCTGCGCTTCCCTCGGGCATGTGCGAGGAGGAGGAGGAGGGGGAGGAGGAGGAGGAGGAGGAGGAGGAGGAGGAGGAGGAGGGAGGAGGCGGAGGAGGAGTAGGAGGAGGAGGAGGGGGGAGGAGGAGGAGGGGGAGGAGGAGGAGGAGGAAGGGGAGGAGAGGGGGAGGAGGAGGAGGAGGAGGAGGAGGAGGAGGAGGAGGAGGAGGGGAGGAGGGGGAGGAGGAGAGTAGAAGGAGAGGAGTTGGAGGAGGCGCTGATGAGGATGCACGCTGTTGCGTCGGCTCCCCGGGGTTCTCGAGCCCCGGGGTGCTCCTCCGCGGCTGCGCCTCGCGGGGGCCGCTCCCCTGGGGTATGCGGCCTCCAGGAGGCCCGAGCCAGAGAGGCCTGTTGGGGCAGCTGCAGTCCTCGCCCCCCCTCAAGAGGCTTGGCATCGCTAGGGGGCCAGATGCGAACCCTACCCCTGCCCCCCACGACTTCTGAGGGGGAGTGTGGGGTTCGCTTCGCTCGGGAGCTCCCGAGCAAAGTGAACCCCACCCTCCCCCTCAGAAATCGTGGGGGGTAGGGGTAGGGTTCGCATCTGGCCCCCTAATCGCTCGGACGTGTGCATTTTTCCGTCGGCGAGGACCGTCGAGGAGCATCCTCGATGATTTGGCGAAAGTGCCACGCACGAAACCGACAAAAATAAAAAACACAGGGAATGGACGTCCGAGCGATGGCCAGAAGGAACCCATCGTGTTGACGATCACCCGAGGGGGACGTCGAGGCCGGCGGAATCCCCCAGGGGGGGGGGCCAGGGGGGGGGGGGCAAGGGGAGCGCAGCTCCCCCCAGGCGTGGCTGGCTGGCGGTGGGGTGCGAGGCAAGGTGGCGGAAGGAAGGCAACGTCCGGCGCGCGCGCGCGCCCCGCATCACGTGTCCTGGGCACCCGAGCGAGGAGTCTTCAGTTTGGGGCGCACCCGCTCGCGCGAGCTCCACTCGCCGCCCCCTCGTGGAGGCGCGTGCAGCGATTTCCATGCTGTGCGCGCCCCTCCGCGGATATCACACCTCCGACGTCTGCAAAGCCAGCGCAGCCCACTCGGGCATCTCGTCGCACGGGAGAGCTACAGTTCGCACCTGGTGCGGGCTCGCTCGCTCTCGGCCCCACATGATGCAGCTCCCACGTACGCTCGAGACGCCAATCCCCCCGGCACCCGACACGGGACGTGCTAGGAAGCGGCTGGTGGTCCAGCAAGGCTGTGGGACGCCTTGGGAGGCCTCTGAGAGGCCTTGGGAGGCTCTGGGAGGCCCTGGGAGGTCTTGGGGAAGCGTGGGGAAGCTCGGGGAGACCTCGGGATGCTCTGGGAGGGGGAAGAGACGGGTCGGGAGATGAATGTTGCGTCGGCTCTTCCGGGGCGGGTCCGGCACGACGAGGCTTAGTCCTTGGGAGGATATCTGGGAGGCCGTGGGAGGCGTCCGGGGGGCCTGCGGAGGCCGCGGGAAGCCTCGGGAGCCGCGGAGGGCTTCGGGAGGTCCTGCAAGGCTCCAGGAGCGATGGGGCAGCTTTTGCAGCGCCCCCGCCCCGCTCCCGCCCCATCCATGCGGGTGGGAAAACCGGAGAAGAGGTCCAGGAGGACGTAGAGAGTTCGAAGAAGAGTTCGACGAGGAGGGGTAGGAGAAGGAGAAGGAGGAGGAGGAGGAGGAGGAGGAGGAGAAGAACGAGGCCTGAAGGTCGAGGACGAGGAGGTCCTCCATGAAGGAGAAGAAGAAGAGTTTGAGGAGGACGAGGAGAATGATGAGGGGGAATGGCCGATGCCAGGGTGGACAAAGGGGAGGTCGAAGAGGAGGGTGGTAAGGATGCTGATGCTGCTGCTGCTGATGATGATGATAGGTAGATAGATGATAGATGATAGATGACGTCACTTGCGCCATATCCATCATCATAGCCCGTGAGGGTTTGTCCGCTGACGTGGTTGATGTCCAGCGCCCTCTTCATGTTTACCCTCCGTGCATGGTCGTCAGGACGAACCTAAGGACGGCATGATCAGGTCTAGGAGCATGGGGGTATCAAGATGTGCATGTGTGCTTATGGAACTCCCACCCTGCCCACCTGGGCAGGGGGGAGAGCTCCCGCTCTCTCTCTCTCTCTCTCTGC